TTCCAATCAACCAGTGAAATCCTGGTTGTTGATGCTTTGATTTGTAGGTACATCCAGTGCTGTTTCTGATCCTAATGAAATGATAAAATGATTGCTTAATGAGCCCATTTTTCCCCATGAAAGATTCTCCTTGGAGTCCTTTTCCAGACAGAAGCTACCCAGAGTACACCTGAAATACAGCTGTTGCTGTTGGTCTCTTGGTGTTAGTCATTGACTTCATTGCACTCTGAATAGGTTTACATCTTGATACCAAGGCACACACCCCACCCCGTGTTCATGTCTTTAAGACCTTGTTTGTCCCACTCGGCACCTGATAGGCCTTTTGCTGCACCCCTCCACTGTAATGTTGCCAGCTCTGGAAGATACCTGGGGATACAGGCACCTTCCAAACTCCTTTTGGAAACATCCCATTTGAGGTGCATTCCTGTCCTACAGAGTAGGAATAGAATGTGTTTCCATTGCAGTTCCCCTGTTCTCTGTTCATTCATCCCTCAGGCCTTCTGCACCCTCTTGGCCTCTTTACTGACCAGATGCCAGGAAGAGTTTTCCAGCCTGGATTCCTGTTAGCCTAAGTCCTGCCAGCAACATGTACGGCTGCTCGAGCCTCAGCCCACGTGCTGCTGGCTGTACACTCATGGTTATTGTTTTGAAGGACAGCCAGTGAAGTTGTGAAGGCTTTAATCTTCCTTCAGCTGCAGTTGGCTTTGTTTAGGGCAGAAGATATGGAAGGGGTTTACAGGGGATTAGCTTTAGTGCCAAGCCCCTACCGGTACTTTGATATCTTGAGTTTAGTTGACTTGCTTTTGCTTTTTCTCTTGTATGGTTTAATCTTGCCAATCTCATTTGTGTATGTTAGTAATCTGACCTCATTCTTGTCAGGTTATTCCTAGTTTTCAAGTTTAATGAAGTTCTCTGCTGAAACCCTTGCTGCTATTTAACCAAATGAAGTGAAAGGGGAAGCACAACTTTGTGAAGCAAGTGTGATGAAGAACATGAGAAGAGTTTGCTCATATTTATCAGGAGGGTGTTTTCCAATCTTGGGAATCCCCCATGGAGTTCATTGCTTTTTGTGGTCCAGCTCACATGGAAATGCTTACCCTTCACTGTGCAGCCATCATGTTCAGGTTGCAGATTCCTGCAACATCATGGACAATATCTGGGACATTGGCACACCAATGGCTTTTGAAGAAGCTTTGTGTTCCTTCCAGCCTTCCTGGTACCCAGTGGTGCCTCTCCCCCTGTGTTAAATCATGCTGTGCTCTCCTGTGCTGGTTAAGCAATGTCATGTAGCGGATGGGAACTCCTTTGGGCTGCTGAGAGGAAGTACCACAAACATGCAAATACCTGAACTCAGAAGCATGGATCTTCCCACACCGGTTTCATGAGCTTTCCCCTGCTGACACAGACACTCCTGCACTTCACAGTTACTGCATCTGATGGCTTGCACTGCGGACAGGGCAATGGTTCCAATACAGGTTCAAAATCTCATTTCCTGTTTCAGGTACGTTACCAATGGCAGCAACCTGAGGATGTTCAAGTTCACGTCACTATTGCAGGCTTTATTACCACTACTCTTATAATTGGCTTGCCAATACAAGAGGAGTTAATCACCAGCATGTAAGTAAGAGTTGGCATAACTCTTGCTTCTGATTTTAATATCCTTATAATGATGATCTGATACTAAAAGATCCTTATGCAGAGATGCTCTACAGCCTGTTAACTGTATAACCTTTACATTTAGTTGGATCTCACTAGACTGTACCAGTCTTTCTCCTCCAGGAACCCTGCTGGGCACTGAGCAATGGCAGCTAGCATAAGGATCCTAAGGGCACGTGAAGGTGTTCAATATGTTGTGTGGATGAGAAAATAGAATCACTTGTGCAGGCTTGCAGCAGCTGCTACTATAGGGTTACTCACACCCTTGGAAAGAGAACTTTTGCAAGCCTCTTGGACAAAATGGGCAAAGAGACTAAAATCACCACAGACAAAAATAAGCACACATGCCCTCCCCTTCTTTTATCCCTTCCAAAAGGCCATAGTTACTGGGTTCTGTGTGTCAGGTGATCCTGAACTGTAAAGGATGGCAAAGACGTTTTAGCAAAGACAACCAGTGAAGCTATTCTTAGTATCAGCTGCATGGAAAATACTTCTCAGAGGCTCTGGTGTCTTAGAGTGAAGACTTGTTTCCTCCTTTTTAGTTTCTGCTGAAAAACAGAACTTCAGAATTAAATAACAATAACAAAAGAGCAGTGGTTCTGATGGGTTAATAACGTGCGGCTGGCATTGGCAAGCCCCAGCTTTCCCACAAGAAAATCTACATTTCTTCCATTTCCAGAGTTTCAAGGTGCTCAGCTGGTCTGAATAAAATCTGGGGTGGGCTTCCATGGTTTTGGGTACCCCACACTCTAAAACATTCCAAGATTTCCTTTCTCTTTCTGCGGTCAGAGAGGAATATTTTTGTTACCAGAAAGACTTGGATGTGAATGTTTTCAATTCGTTATCTATTCACAGTTTCAAGAGCCCACGAAAGGGAGTGAGTGTTGTGGGATGTGTTCAGTGGTGAACTAAGGCAGAACTAGCAGGCTTCTCTGTTGGGAAATGTTCCCGTTTTGAATTAAAAACTTATCTATTTCAAACAGAATCTGCCTCTCCTTTGGACAAAAGTAATGTGTGCATCTGTATTAGGACCAGAGGAAGTTAGCAGCAACATGATTTAACCGTGCTATGTCACTGTAGCTCTGTAACAGCAAAAAAGCCACTAACGAGCAATGATTTTTCAGGTGCCATAAAAACACAGGCAGGTAACTAGAAATTATCTCTCACAGTACACCCAGTTTTAATCTTTTCAATATGCCTGCTTCTTTTTTTTGAAAAGGAAAAGCTGATTACCATCTGGGGGCCCAAATACGCAGATAAAAGTAGAGAATGCTGAAATGTTTGCCACCTTGTGTTCCTCTTTCTGTTATCTGATTATAGCATTCAGGAGGGGTTTAGAATAAACAACACATTTATACACTTTAATCCCCATATATGCTTTTCACTTTCTAAGGCATTGTACTCCTTTAAGTATGCCCGTTTAATTCTCCATCAGAAGACAGACAATCGGGATACAAATATTTACTTTCTGCTCGTTATAGTGCAACTTTTGACCAAACTCATACAACTTCTCAGTATTATCTTTCACTCAGTATTTGCTTTTACATACTACGAAGGCCCAGTTGCCAGCAGAATAGGTTTGCTGTCCATGCCATGGCATGAAATCTAACTCTGCGTCTTTCTTTCAGGCCAATGTTAATAATCATACCATATTAGTGATACTAATATTAATTTAGACATAAAATTGTTTTTCCCCTGGCTCCTACTAAGGGTTGTAATTTCTTTCTACATATTTTCATGCATTCTTGCACATTACACTAACAGACAGACCAATGTGGAGCTGTTTTTTTTCATTCAAGCCATGAGAGCGTGTATTGCTCAACTATGCATCACAGAACAGCAGCAGTGCTGGAACCAATCTGCTGCAGCAGCCAACATCCAGGCTGCTGCTGTGGTGAAACCCTGATGCCTCCCAAACTGACTGGGACCTCTGTGGGCTGCAGCATCTTGGGCATCCTCTTCCCAAGGAGGCTGCTTCAAACAAGCTTCTCATCTCTATGGTGGAGGACATTAAAGACATACTACAGACCACCTGGGGAAATGTCCACAAGTGACCAACCCAGAGTGCACAGGCACAGCTGAGGTCCAGCCCCTTTTCCAAACTCCAGGAAATATTGCCCATGCTGCTCTGCAAGAGCCAAGCTCTCCTCTAATACAGGCAATTATGGTAGCGAATATGCCTGGCAAGGTCATGATTCCGGTAAGCAATAACCAAGAGCAGGAACAGTCTTTGGCATGATAAAATTGAGGTTTTAACTGCATAATCAGGGAAAATAGCTCTATAGGGAAAGTACATCTTCAATCAGTGTAACTGTCTGCAAAATCCCTACAGTAAGTTCAGATTCTTCAGTACACAGTGCATTTTCACAAGCATCCTTTTATATTCTTACAGTTGACTTATGTCACTGCAATGTTTCACATGTACAAGCGCAACTATAATCAACTTCATCTTTCCTTGCTACAAAGACTGTGGCTATCAATCAGGTCTATTAGTGACAACCGAGTGAGAGATGGAAGCTCATGCAGAGAAGAGAGCACCTGCAGAAGATCTGATAATGTTTGTTTTCTGCAAACACTGGTTGGGTCAGCCAGGGAACTGTTTCTGAATTGCTGTTCCCAGATCAGGCTCTTCTTAGCTTGTTGGGCTGCAGAGTGTTGTGCAGTGATTTTATATCAAAGACAACTTTGTGACTGGATCAATTCCAGCAAATATGTTTCCATTGCTGACGAACTTTAAAATACAGCTAAACAGGATGTACTGATAAACACTGCAACATTGGCCAAAAGTTTACTACTGCTTTTCACAAAGCCCATATAAATAATCTGAAAATAAACATCTGACAACCTCCCAACTTCTACCAACCTCCTTTGACAACTGATGGAAACAGGGCTGTCTGTAAAGCACAGCAATGCATTTTAGGGGGTAGCTATTGTGGCATTCTTACTTGAATCAGAGCCATTAGTTCTGGGTTTCTGAGGTTTCTGAGCAGTCAGACACCAACAACTGTATTATCCCCAAGTTAGGCAGTAGCTGTAGCGATGTTCTACTTCATGGTCTTAAATCAAGACAGAGAAGAGCGTGTAACTGCTGAGCCACAGGGACAGTTGCATACTGTAAGCCAGAGGCTGATCCTGAAGAGGCAAAACAGGTCAGATTTTGGTGGCTTCATGAAAATCCAAACAATTAGATCCCGTAAGTGGGCAAAGTCCTAGCCTTGGTACTGTATTTACTGCCTGGAGTAACAGTGAGCCTGGATTCCACCCCGTTGCGTGAAACAGTTTCAGAAGTGCCACCGTTTGACCTCAACGGCAGCATGTTCCAAGTGTAAACTGAGCTGTGTGCTTATTTAGTTCAAGAGAAATGTCAAGCAAAGCTCATAGGAGCGCTATAAAAAGCCATTGGGAAGTCAGACTTCATCAGCAAGAGGACTTTGTGTCTGGTGAAACAGAGCACGCACCAGCTGAAGTTCACACACGGCAATGACTGGCTGTAGCCCGGCGGTCAGGAGGAGACAGCAAGGCTGAACTTCCCAGGGAGAACGAAGCAGAAACCTTGTGAGGGTTTCCATCGTCAGCTTGGAGCTGTGCTTGGAAAGAAGGCAGGCTGCTCTGCACAGAGCATCACCCAGCTCCACTTAGGACCTTCTTCAACACAGCAGCTCAAGAGATGCTGAGCCATCCCAACAGCACAACAGTGGAGAGAACATGTAGGACCAATGTGATTTTGGGGCAACCGTGCCTACGCCTGGTTGCGATTGAGCTCAGCAGGACCAGGAGTGGAGCAAGCAAGTCCCACAGAAGCGGGTAGGGGCTGGGAGCAGGCACCTGCCCCAGCAGCAGCCCCAGCACTGAGCCACAGGCAAAGCAGCACCTTGCAGCACCCCATGATGTCATGTAGGTCGCTGTGCTCGTGTAAACAAGGCTGGTGTGGTGCAGACAGGACGCTCCACTTCCTCCCAACAGCACGGTCGCATGTAGCTGGGTTTCTGCCTGGAAAGGTAAGACTTCTTTTAAGCTCACTCTTTGCTGTCTAGAACCAGCATTAATGCGCCTGTGCTGTCTCCTATGAAAATGTTGCTCTCTCCAGCTTTTCCTCAGGGGTTTGCTCTTTCCAGGAGGAAATTTGTGGCACTTTGAGACTTGAAAAAACCAGCAGCCCTCCATGCGCGCCAATCCTCTGTGTGAACACATGGAGGAGTTGAAACAGCAGCTGCTTGAAATTGCTGTTGCAAGAGAAAGCAAAATGTTATAGCGTGGGTAATTAGTGATTCTCCAACTGTTCTCCTAGGCACAAATTCCTTCTTTTGCCTGGTTTCTCAGGGAATATATTTTATTTTAAAATCATATTTGAGAAAAAGGGAAACTTGCAAATCTGTTTTTTCTGATGGTGGTTTATATTATCACACAAAAAAAAAGGATCTACATGCTGCATGTCTTTGTGCCATCCAGTGCTCTTTGACTGAATTGCAGCGGTAGGGAATTAATAATAGTCAGGGGACACAACATGACAAAATAGCAAGAGTGCTTGGACTTGGTTTTGCTAATGAAAATCTAGAGGCAGTCTTAATTCATTTAGGCTGCAGTCACTGGTCAGGATTAAAACAACTTCATGCACTGAAGCTTTCAAACTGTGCTTTGGAAAAGGTGCTTTACTGATGGGCTTGCATTCACTTGCACTGGCAGCTTGGCTCTGACGGGAGCCCAGGAAAACAGCACATCTGCAGTGTGGCACTTACAGCAGGATTCACAGCGGGCAGACCCAGAATCTGAAATTCCTTAAAGCAAACCAAAAGGGAATCACACCAAAGGTGAGGCAGTGTGTCCAATCTGGCTCACTGCAGATTTATGTAGGAGAGGACTTCAGTGGCAGGCTCGAGCAGTAGGATGTGTGAAGGAAGAGTGTGATTTCTATTCAAGGGCATGTTTTCTGGTGTCAGTGAAAGTTCTGGGACCTTGGCACTGGTGCAAACACCACCATCCATGGGAACTGCACCCATTATGGGTGTCCATCCATGGTACAGCCCTCAGCCAGCGTGGAGCAAGCACCCCAGCGAGACTGCAGCATCCTGCTGCGTGAGCATGCCCTGCCCTTCAGCTGCCTGAGCCACAGAGGTGAAAACTGGACTAGTGTTGCAAAACGAAAACAACTCATCACAAGGGATCAGCAGCCCAGATCTGTTCTTTGATGTGGAAGAACACCACCGGAAAAAGCACCCTTAACTGTAGAACGTTCCACTTCTGACTGCAGAGGTTTCATACCAAAGTATGAGTGCAATAGCGTGAGACATCCATGGCCATGCAAAGAGGGCAGAGTGTAGAGGCACTTGTGTCTCAACCAAATCAGTTAACCTGTCTGCTGATGGACATTCCTATGCTCCTCAGTCCTGTCAAGATTTTTCCTAGAAATTCCACATTTAGTTTCCAAACATTCAGCTACAAGTAATAATGTGCACATTTAATTATGTCCTTATTGCAACAGCCTCAGAAAGAACTGTAGTGTAAAAACTAATAGTTAGATAATAGTGTATTTATTTACTACCAATATTTTTTTAAATTTCATATTCTGAAAACAGTATTCCAATAGGAGCCATCTCCCTGCAATATGTAAGTCAACATTGATAAAATCTGATGGAGCTTTTCAGACTTCTGCCTTTGCTGTACATACATCATGCAGAAAATGACTGTTCATCAATTCCAGTGTTACATTTGCTCAGGGTGGTAGGGATGGGACATTACCTGCATTTCCACAGGTTGGATGTTACAACATTTTGGCTCAAAGGTTGAAAGCAGCTCTCTGGTCTCCATCAAAGTGCATCTTTTCAACACTGTTCTATCTGTAAATACCAGCAATGAGAAGTATTTCTGGGACCATTTTTTTCCCTAATAGCAGTTATTCAGTAACACAGAGCTTTAGAATTTGGGGTCACTCTGGAAGATAGCAACACAAACTCAGGAAACCATACTCAAACTTCTGCCTCCCACCACTCAGACAGCCCTGGTCCGGTGAGGTCTGGAAAAATACCTTACAGAGGAGGGCAAGGAGATGAAGTCTTGATTAACTCTGACACCTTGTGGACAATTAGCAAATGAAGACAAGGCCAAGGGGTAACCTCTCCATGCTGTGGGCTCCACCATGGTCCCAGGTGTGCTGCAGCCCAGCCCTGTGCTCATCTGCATGCCTGGACAAGCTTGCTGCAATCAGAAAGTGAAGGTTGAATTCTGGTATCAAGCACGTGCATTCAGCATCACCCTCATGTTACAGCAGATGCATCCTGGACACGGTGGTTTATTGTAAATGGCTCCATTTAGAAGCTGGTTTCAGTCAGCAGCCTAAACTTGATCATTCTGATTGCTGACCCTGCAGTCTGGTCCTTAGCTGTCACATGAAATGTAAATAAGGGCTAACTGCACCTAGGGATCTCAAGAAGCAAACTGACTGTTATGACTCATTTGAACTGAAGAACACGTGTCCACTGGCCAGCATTTAAATGTAAGTGCATCGCTAAATTAGAACATTTTGCAAATGTACCTAATCTGCCATGGTTTCAACGGCCACCAAGCACTTGTGATGTGGAGGAGCACCAGGCAGCCAGTCTAACCTTGACATCCAAGGGAAACCAGGCAGCTTGTAACATTGGAAATGGCTTTTTAATGGCTTCTTTGCAAAATGGGAGGTCAAGTGAAGGGACAGAAATTGGGTTTAGTGAGCAATGCTCTTGCTGGAGACAAAGGCAGCTGATAGCATGTCCAGTTAGAGCTGCAGGCAAACCAGATGGAAAGGGAGCACAAACACCCTAAGCACCAGAAATTCATAGGAGTCTCAAGAAATGGGATGTAACCTGAATTTACTGCCCTGAGAAGCAACACCCTGTGTGAACAACCCAGTGCTCAGCTCCATGCCCTGTCCATTCCCTGTCAGTGTTCTGAGGAGTACCAGAAAGGAGAGCAGCAGGCCGCCACCATTGCTTCTCAGCCTGACGGAGATAAGGCCATAGACCAGATGCATCTTTTCCCTTGTTTCCAGCACCTTTTGAGCCTCATCCACCCTCATTGGCATATTGTGGCCTCATGAGAAGAGCAAGGCTGGGATGTCCTGGGTGGACAGCAGCTAGGAGCACGGAGCGGAGCATCTCATCACATAGCTGCCTTGGGGTGAGGGCTCCTGGGAGCAAATGGCAGACTGGAGGGATGCCCTGGAGGACAAAACCAAACTGGGGGTCAGCTTTCCTCCCTGTACTTGTGCCATCTTGGTCAATGAAGGTGATTAGATAGAGGAATTTCTTGGCTGCAGCATTTCTTTGGTGTTTAGTGTAACTGAAAGATGCAGCCTAGCTGCTGAAGCTGGGGGTGCTGCAGGGGACAAACACATAGACCTTGCATTTTGAAGACTGTGGGAGAGTGAAAGACAAGTTTAAAGAGAAAGTTGGCCTCAGCATCTGTTTGAGGAGCCCTCAGAAACAGTGGTTAGGTGCCCCTGCACCATCACCATCAGCCAGAGCCACTGCATCCATAGTGAGGGTGGCCTCTGTGCCATGCTGGGATCTTGCCATGGCCTGGGTGTTTCTGGGGCCTGAATTACAGCCCTTCAGTAGCAGCTTTGAGCAGTGTCTGTACTAGCTGCCAAGTCCAAGCACTGCTGTGATTAACAAGCTGAAAAAACAGCTATTTGTGTTCTTCGTCACTTGAGAGCTCTAAAGTCTTCTCTTTTTGTGTAACATGAAGGAAAAAAGCATTAGTAACAGGGTACAAGTTACTAATATGCACCTACAGAGACACTTCTTCTGGCAAATGCCCCTTGCAAACAGTGCAGGATATGAGTCAGAAAGAATGAATCAGTGTCTGCAGTGCCACATGAAATAGGAAGCTGATACTCAATTTTAAATGTTCTGTTAGACACAGGAGGGAATCACTATAATGAAAAGCATAGCCCTATGGGAAAACACCTGATAAAACCAAACTCCTCCTGCCTGTGTTGCCCTACTGAAGACAAGTCCCAGTTACAAAAGCTGACAAAAATATGGCCCAACAGGTCAACACGTGACATTTTGCCATCCCTACTTGTGTGAATCAAAAGAGAATCAGAAGTTGGTAGTATCTAAACCCAAAATTATCTGATGGAAGAGAAGAGTTAAACTGAGGCTGATGGAGTGGTAAGAAATGGAAGTTGGTGATCAGATTAGGCCTCTGCTTGTGACATTACGCTAAATACATGGCAGCGCATTTCAGGAGCATTTACATGGCTGCATTTAGAGCAGTCAAATTTCTCAAGCCTTTTCCACATATCCTGTCCCCATCGTGCCAGAGAAGGGGGGTCCATGAGGTCCACTGATGGGGTCAGGAGACACACCACCCACACAGTAGCTAACCTGCAGCTTAATAACAGCTATGATTCAGTGGTTGGCACCCACGTTTTGCTAGTTGGGCCACGTGGTTCCTCACACGCAGAAGCTGGGCTGTGGCACATTTCTTCCATGTGTGCCTCCCTTGCTACCCAGAGACAAAACCACATATGGCCTTTACAAGATGGCCAAAAGAATAGGCAGCTTCTCCTGCTCCTCTGTTGGCAATATGGCACAGCTTCACCCATGCTTTTACACTCAGACAGCCGGGAAAAGGGGCTGACACAATAGGAATGGTTCCTCACCTCTGTGTGAGTAGCGGGAGTCCTCTGAATGGGCAGCTGTGAAGAAGATAGCAGGATGTTTTATATAGAAGATATTTCCAAACCTGTACTTTGTACAGAATAGTCAAATAGGAAATGCAAATGTGAATACTGACAGCTCTTGCAATGCCTTTGCCTTTACAGCTCCTATTTTTGTTCTCTACAGGAATGATCCACCCACCCTATACCACAACAGATGTTTCCAGCAGCCCAGTCATGACACACAGCAACCAGACCTGCTCCAGCCATAACATAACGTTTAAAAACAACCTGTATGCCACTACGTACACCCTCATATTCATCCCTGGCCTCCTGGCAAACAGCGCTGCCCTATGGGTCTTGTGCCGCTTCATCAGCAAGAACAACAAAGCCGTCATTTTCATGATCAACCTGGCTGTGGCTGACCTGGCTCACGTCCTCTCACTGCCATTGAGAATATATTATTACATTAACTCCACGTGGCCTTTTGGGAGATTCCTTTGCTTACTGTGCTTCTACTTGAAGTACCTTAACATGTACGCCAGCATTTGTTTCCTCACCTGTATCAGCATTCAGAGGTATTTCTTCTTGTACCAGCCATTCAAAGCCAAGGACTGGAAGCGGCGGTACGATGTCGCCATCAGCGCCGTGGTGTGGCTCTTTGTTGGGGTGGCGTGCTTACCCTTCCCCATCATGCGGAGCTATGGGCTAGCCAAAACCACAAACACCTGCTTTGCAGACCTTCAAGTCCGTCAGATTGAGAGCAAGCTGGCCACTGTGCTGATGATGGGCACAGCCGAGCTCTTTGGGTTCATTGGACCACTCACCATTATTTTATTCTGCACTTGGAAAACAAAAGACTCTCTTCGAGGCTTCCAGATACCACTTCAAAACAGCAGTGAGAGGCGGAAGGCTTTAAGGATGGTTTCCATGTGTGCCATCGTGTTCTGTGTGTGTTTTGCACCATACCACATCAACTTCTTTTTCTACATGTTGGTGAAAGAAAACGTCATTACAGACTGCTTCCTGAGTACCATCACGCTCTATGCCCAACCCTTTTGCTTAAGTCTTGCAAGTCTGGACTGCTGCTTGGATCCAATCCTATATTTCTTTATGACTTCAGAGTTTCAAGACCGGATATCAAAGCACAGCAGCATGGTCATCAGGAGCCGGCTCATGAGCAAAGAGAGTGCCTCATCAATTAAGGAATGACAAGAAAGCCAGCTTAGAAGAATGAAGGTATTTCGTATGAAATCTGGGACTGTTCCATGATACTTGATTACCAGCTCCATTGTGGAAAATCCTGCAAGCTTATGCAGGAGAGTTTTCTGGCAGTGGAAATCTTTTGGTGTACAGAAGATAAAACTCTGTTTAAGACCCAGATGTAGGAAGCTGAAGAGTGGCCCCACTGGCGTGCCTACACTTAGTGCTGTGCCACACATGCCTGACCTATCTGGGCTAGAAAAGATACAGGAGGGCGTGACAAAGCTTTCTCTAGGAAATGGTGGAGACCTCCCAGAAGTTTTTCTTCTACTTTCCCACCTCCATGGCTCTATGATCAAGCTAAAGACAATCTTAAATCCATACACTGACATCCACTGAAGCATCATCTCTGCTAAACACCCACAATGCATACAAGAACCTGAAAATGGCCAGTAACAATAAATGGCATTATTCTTTCTGCAGTCCGTGCTGCAGATGCATGAAGGTTGGCAGCTTGCTTCAGCATGGCAGCCTCAGCTTTCCACTGCTGAGTGCATCCCACTGGTCACCAGACTTACCTCTGCTTCATCTTTCCTGCACTTCCCCTCCTGCTCTCATTCATTATTTCCACCAAGCTCTAAGTTTGCTCCTTAATTGCTGATACATCCTGTAACTTGCACTTACTGCAGGTGTGAGACCCTCTGCAAGAGAAACTCTCCCAATGGCTCCTCAAAGATCCTTTTCTCCAAGTAGCTTTCTTCCTCTCCAAGCTGCCCGTGTTGGCAAGGGGGGCACCAACACGTGGCCTTTGTCTTTGGATCCTGAGAAACAGGATCGCCAGGATCATGCTGGAGACTGGGCACAGTCAGACTCAGCATTGGTGCGGGTGGATCTGATGATGCCAGTGGTAGCATTCAGGTCCTTTCTCTCTTCTGTGTGTTTTGTTTTGGGCCCAGAGGTACCTCGATTGTGACAAGTGACACATGTTCTAAAAAAGAGAGGTATCCTTGCCAAGGTGACTTCAGTAACAGAGCATATGCTAATTCCTTAAGTAAATGATTGTCATTTTTTTTTCACCAGCTCCTCGTGTGATCTTAACATTTACGTTTTCAAAATCAGCTATAAAGATATCAAAAAGCAGTGACAAGAATGATGCCATTCACCCCTTACTTTAAATTAGTGACAGCTCTTCAGCCAAGTGCACCCACTTTGTGTGATTTCAAGGGTATCCTTATGGTGCCTGATGATTGTTTGGCTGAACACAGGCACTGATTTATCACCTCTGAAAAACTAGGTTTTTTTCAAAAGGAATGTGTACAGTTCTCCATAACTACCAGTATCTTAACATGTTGCTACAAAAATAGAAGAAATACCAGAAACACTTGCCAAGTATATATTTTAAATCTAACTACTCCATTCTAGTTAATTACATTTTAACTCAGCTAGAAATTTTCTGCATCTTATATTGTCCCACTTGACTGATTTACAATAAAATGGGGAAAAATGCAAACAATTGGCAGGTTTAAATAAGCAGTACACTGGAGTTCCTCTAAAAGACAGTGAAGACATGCTGATTCAATACAGTAAGCTCTTGTAATTCTCCTCCCATTTGTGAGAAGACGATGTGGCTACAGTATGAGGAACTTAATATTTCACATTTATAAGTGAAAATACCAAAATAATGCCTATCTGAAGGAAGTAACTGTCATGAAGAGAGTACTGTTGAAGACTTCTACAGTTTTCTGGAGAGAAAGCTGCAGGGAAAGCAAACAGTCCACCTCCCAGTGAAGTCAGTGGAAATGTTTTCTCTGGTTTAAAGAGCAGTTTGTTATGCTGATGATATACAAGCTTACACACTGCAAGTAGTCTCTTAAAAATGTGAGCGGAGATTGATGCTCAGGTACACAGTTAAGCATGCAGAATTGTTGCCAATTTAGCAGTTTTCTCATAAGCTGAACACTATATAATATTGTCAGTGAAGGAAACTAGTTTCAGTGGTTGTTATGAAGATTTTTACTGACCTTGATCAGTTAGCATTTGACTGAGAGCTGTTTACTGTGATTTCTTTCTCATACAATTCTCATTTATCAGGCGAAAGCAAACCGAAGGCACTGTTATGGTAACTGTGTAGCTTGTTCTCCATTTTTCTTTCCAAAACCTGATGCTTAAAAAATAAATGCATTTTTTTCAAATGTAAAGCTGAATTTCATAGCTATCACTTATGGGATCAACTCCTCCTTGAATCAAAGAGTTCAAGTGATGGAGTGCATAAAGTCTTAATATTCTTAAACAGATTGCTTGTTTGCTTGTCTGCGGAAAGGTTTCCACCCCATATGGCTGGCGTTTATATATTTTTTTAAACTACAACACTTACATTAGATTTAGAGGTACTTTGGTGAAGAGAAAGGTCCTCCATAGGAGTAGCTGTGCTGTGGGTGGTGCATGAACGGGTGGGGCTGAGTGACTGCAGGACTGCAGAAGCCACTTCTTTCTATCTCATTGAACAGTGTTTTTGCAGATCCAAAGCTATATGGCTTAAAAAAGCACTCACAGTACTGACAATGATATTGCAACTGGGTTATCTCTTGTGTTGGTCACACTGCCCAGGTCCACCAGCTACAAGGAGACCTTCAACCTTCTTGAGCAGACAAAGTCTTTGGATCAACTTGAGATATTCTATGACTTAAACAGAGATGCCACAGGGAGACAGAATTTAACTGAATCAAGAGGCTGGGTACCTATGCACATTTGTGAAGGATGGAGCTGAAGAGCTCCACTGGCACCTAGTGTGGAGCAACCCTGTGTCAAGCCTCATCCCAAAGGGAAGTTCACAGGATGGAGACATATTGAGGTCTCTAAGCCACCTGCACTGACAGCAGTGCATGTCCCCTGCTGGCACAGCCCTGGGCAAAACCACAACATGATATATTCTTCCTCTCTGGAACAAGAGCCGTGCACTAGCTAGCAAAAGAAAATGCGCTTCTTTGCAGTGCCAGCAAATGGCCACCCCTTCTTAAGTGGTGTCAGCGGTCTGGTAATTCCTCTCCTGCTTGAGAAAGGGCCCTCCTGTGCTTGACATCAAATGTACACAGAAAGAAACCCCATGGGATTTAACACCTTTTTATAGCCTCAGGTTCTGAGCTGCAGGAACTTACTGGTACCTCAGCTTCATTCTCTTTCCTTAAATGAAATTACTCACTCTCTACAGACAGTAGAATACTAAACATGCTGTAAATGCAAGATAACAGCTCAACAACTAGGAGTCAGCTAAAATATATCAAACCACTTCATTACATTTAAAAGATTTCAGAGATAAGACGGGTGCATTTTGACCAAAATTGCTGGGTCTGTGGACTACACAGGGCCTTAGCCAGAAAAGGTAGGACCAACAATTATTTGCTGTAAAAATAAATCAAAGCTTCCTGAAAATGCTGCCCTGTCAAGAACACTGTGCAGTAGCAGGAGGGTCTCTGTGCCACAGGACACCAGGGACTCCCCCAGCCCCACGGGTCATATGCCAAAGCTCCGATCAAGCTGCAGTAAGTCTCTGCACAATTGTGAGTTGCTTTGTGTGGGCAAGACCTCCTCCTCCTGAATGGCCTACTGTTTTTCATACATCCTTCAGGTGCATCCTGTCAGATATTTCTAAGTGCTGAGTGCTTAAATAGATGCTGATCATATGGATTTGGCCTTCTGCCCACAGGATACCAGGCTAAAGGTGAAGACAACCTTTATCTGGAAGCCTTAGATAAAGACTCACAGATATTTAAAAATTCCTTTGTGTCTTCTGCTCTTGAAAGTAGAGCACTGCATGTGTAAAGTGCATGTTTAGTGTCGGCAATGAAACAGAAGAACAGAAACGCAAAACAGAAATGTGCTTGTAGTTGAAAGAACAGAAAAGTTGATTAATATATGTAGTAGGAAGAAGCTTGAGGCTTGTCAATCCATCAGCCTTTCCCAACCAGTACTGTTGTGATGTTCTGCAAAATTACTCCAAAAAGCCGACGAGCAGAGGAAGGAATCGATATGGTTATGAGCCCTGAGGTGCAAGTATGACCCTCCCCATGGTCTGACATCCACTGACCGCCAGCCCTGCTGTAAACACATCCCTAATAATAGGGCTTGGAGAGGACTGGATACAGCACTGGATGTGTGCTGTGGACACAGAAGTAGGATGTCCTAGGCAGGATATCCTGATACGGCAGCCACTTTGGGATAAACCTTTAACCTCTGGAGAGGGATAGGGCATGGTGCCAGCCTCTCTTCTGTGAACGTTTTGCAAATACACAAGCACTCTGCTTTCTTCCAAGGATCACATCAGCTGCTGAGAAAGATGCACAGGAGGAAAACCTGGAATGATAAATAACTCCAGCATCTTTTAAAATCACTTTGCTCTCAGCTAAGAGACATGGGGATTCACAGGTAACTAGTTGCTAGCAGGCTGCATTTACATGGTGGATAAGCAAGTGGTAACGAAGAAGCCCATAGATAAGTCTATAAAGGGTGGTATATAAACTGTATATAAACTGGTCTTGCCTTTGCCTTCATGAGGATGTTGACCAATGGATTTAAGTAACTGCACTTCCACTGACCACAGGACAGTTCTGGTCCAGGATCCTCTTTTCCCTCCACTACTGTCATGAAGCACCACTTCAGGGAATGGGAGCACACTCAGGTCCCCCCAGTCAGCAGTGCTGCCAGCACAGAGAAACCCTGAAACAGCACAACCAGCAGAGCCAGTGGGTTCAGATGCTGCGGAAAAAGCTGCTTGCTTGCTCCCAGACCCTGAGCTGGAGACTTAATCTACAATTAAATGCTATAGTAGCTTCCTTCTTTCATTTCTCTTCCATAGTTAGGCTTCTGTTAATTTTCTAGGGTCATAGGACCAGTTACAGAAACTAGATGAGTATAGCAAAAATAGTTCTATTTATACATTACCTACAGTAAGAACGGGAAAGATGCCGACGGCTGTATTGCCTTCACAAGCCCGGGGCTGTAAGAGGGGACACTATATATCAGGTAAAACTGTTCAACTGGAAATGAGGCAGCTCGTAAGAAGTTACACTGCAATATATGCCTACCAGTTTTGAGGAGCACAGAAAGAAGGTGGTCACGCTTAGCAGGCAATAAAAGGTCTAAGAATTATATATATATACACATATATATACAGGAAAGGAATTAAAGGATGCAAAAAGAAAAAATAAATTGGGAATGATGCACGTTATGTTTTATGGTTTGTATTTTGGTGTTTTTAAACATAGTATTTTGGGAAAATCTCCACCTTAAGCCATTATATTATTTCAGAAATAAAACCCAAGCCCATTAGCTTTAGCCTTGATAGTCTGAGGCTAACCAAACTTCCAAGAAAATAAAAGAAAATTACTACCTTCCAGTAACTTGCACTGGCACAGGTTTCAGTTTTCCTTTAGCAAGTACTTATTGGAAGCTTTTTGCTTCTGTATTTTATAGTTTCTAGCAAGCAACTGCAGATAAAAGCAGAAGCAGCTGGACCGAAGGACAGCATCGCCTAACACAACTTCTATGCGAGAAAGAAATCCATGTCCAAGGTCTCTACCACACGGCACTTGGATCAAATGATGTCATCGCCTTCCCAGTTGTTTTAACGTCATTAGCCATACACGTTTTGCGTGGTGAAGAGAAACAAAACACAGGATTTCCTGTTCTGCTACCACTCTACTGGGCTGCAGATGCCGGCAGGATTCCAGTGCTCTGAAAACATGTGGAAGTTTAACAAGGAGTCGCTGGGGCTGGGATTGCTGCGAGAATTGGTAGGAAATAAAAGCAGAAAGCTTGCTCCTCCTGCTGTGTAGCATGGATGTCACCCCCCTGAAGGATGGGAGTCACAGGAAGGTAAGCTGGATTTTGCTGTGTGCTTTCATCTGTAGATCGACACTATCGCAGCTTTGAGCAACGTTACCTATTAGTTGTTTTAGCTCTTCCTCAAGAGATCTTATCAGGCAGAAGCTGGTGCAACATCCGCAGCAGCTTCTGACTGTGCCCATGTACTTCTTCTCGCTCGGTTCTGAGGGGTGGGTGAGCGGAGCTCAGTGCATCCGAGCAGGCTGCTGTGTACAGGGAAAGCCGGCTTTATCCAAAAGTGCACTGGGAAAGCCGGCTTTATCCAAAATACTTCAATTTTGGCATTACTGACAGAATCTGCCATCACTGACCAGCTCTGTTTGTGTACTTCCTATTAGTGCCTAGATTAAACAAACATGATTATTGCTTAAAACATGAGCTCCAGAAAGCCTCCGTTACCTCAAACCAGGAGCTTATTTCAAGCCAGAAGTGTATTTTTATTTCTCCCCAGCATCCCAGGCCTGGGCAGGGTTGGAGGGAGGCAGCTCTGCCCCAGTCCCCCATCCCCGGGGTTCTCCCAGGCACGCCTGGAGTGCAGCTTTGGGATGGTTTGTCCAACCAACCCATGGAAAAGATGAGGGTGAGCTTTGCCAGTGGATTTGGGAGCAGTAAATGCAGTACCGCAGCAATGTAGGGCTGGGTGGGGCACACAGTGATTCAGAATAGCCAGGCATTTTCCAATACTGACAGCCACACACGCCTCCAGCAACAGATACTGCTAACACTCAGAAAAAGAAATGCAGTGTTTTAATAGCTGCCATAACCACCTAATTAATTGCAAAGTTAACTGATGTTTAATTAATTGTAGTGCTGCACCCACAGCCTGTGGTCTTACTCCGCTGGCAATGATATTGGTCTCCCCTCTCTAATTTCAGTGCGCAGCTGGATAAAACTCAGCTTTGCCACCTAAAAAGTCACCCCTCACCTCCCCAAGTCTTGCCCATGTATATCTGTGCCTGGATGAAATAGGAAAACAATCAAGGAATGGCAGGGAGTATTTAGTATATAAAGTTGCTGAACAAAACCCCTGCCAAAGCCCGTGGGAGCATCTCTGCCCCAACACCAGCATCACCAACAGCAAAACATGGAGGGAGCTGGAGGGACTTGGGGCAAAGTGCAGATGGAGGGAAAGCAAAAACAGGAGAACAATAATAAATACAGAAATCCACCTTTCAGGAAGCACTGCAGTGAATGGGCACTGGCCTGAGCCCAGACCAGCAGTGGCTCAGTGGGAGCTCCACCTAAGAGCCAAAAGTGCCAGGTACCAGGAGTGACACCTGGCTCTCCAGCAGGAAACAGGCACTACTGCACTCCCAGAGAAAGCCAGCAAGGAGGCTCCCGATGGTCACTCCTGCAGGGACACACATTAGGATTTGGGCTGAGACACGTGGCAGGGAGGAAATGGCAGGACAGGGACAACATGGTTAATATGGTTTAGAGCGAGGTGTCTCTGCCCATGACAGGGGGGTTGGAACTTGGTGATCTTAAGGTCCTTTCCAACCCTAACTATTCTATGATTCTATGATTCTATGAACAGGCACTTTAGTCCTTCCCACAAGTCAAGACCAGCAAGTGCCACCTTCGTCACTGGCAGACCATGACACGAGCTGGGGATAGCTGCATTCCCCCATTCTCTGCAGCAGTTTTTCCCTCCCCACTTTCTGCAGGGATGTAAAGACATGTTGTCTTGCCATTATCTTTCCCAGGGTTAAACAGACTCCGTGCAAAGGGCACCAGCAAAGAGCAGGGCCAGTGTGGAGCACAAACCCCTTGTGATTTTCAGGCAGGTGAGGGGTGCATGGGGATGCTGCACAGGCCTAAGAGTTTTGTTTGTCACTGTTCCCTTGTGACAGATGTTCCTGCTCCCCTGCCGTGTCCCAGCTTAGTGGAGAAATCAGAAACCTCTGACCTGGCACTGCCAGCTCAAGCACAGTCTGCAACCAGAAGGTGCACGAGTCCAGCATCAGCCAGGGTTTCACTTCAGCATTGCTTTTTTGCAGCCAAACCCTGGAGAAACAAGCAAGGGGGAGAGAGCAATTTGGGAAGGACTCAGTCTGGAAAGCAGGGCATCTGCACAGAAACACAGGGAAGTGGACCAACACTGCGGGCAGTGCGCAGCCAGCTGAGAGGCAGTGCCTATATTTTATACCTATATAGGTGTGTGTGTATAAATGTAGAGACTCCCTCCTGAAACTGAAAACACCACAATCCCTCTGGAGAGCTGCCTAGGTGAGGAGGAGCAGGGTAGAGGAGCCTTCACCCTGCACCTCGAAGCAATGCTGGGCTGTGGCAGCCAGTCCCTGGCTGCAGGTGATAAGCTTTTAGAAATCCATCTCCATGGCAAATGCCAGGCTCAGGGCTGTGGGAAACAGCACCACTGGCTGCTGCTTAATTAAATACCACTGTGGAGGGTTTCAGTGGCAACAGGGATAGGTGCTCAGGGCTCTACCAGCTCAGGCTCTGGTCTTCAGAAGGGAAGGGAAGGCTGCTCAACACTTTGCAGGCAGCTACAGGCTGTTCCCAAGGGGAAAACTGCACTGTTTTGTTGCAGATGATGCCCTTGCTTTGCAATCTCTGCTACTAAACCACCTCCTCCTGAAAGAGCAGACAATTTCCCCTGAGCTCTCCTCACAAACAGCAAAATCCATCACCTGTCTGGTTAGCTGCACAAGTATCTGTGAACTCCCCATGACCCACTAATACCCTCAGCTGGCTCAATGAGGTGAAACAGGCGAATGGATGAAAAGAATTCCCACTGTAACTCAAAGGCAGATGTATTCATCTTCCTTCATGTCCTGAACTGTTGCTGGAGGATAATTTCTGTTGCTACAACATGATGCCTGCACAACGTGCCATGAGTGCCAGAATTGAGTTAGCAGGATGGGCAGAGCAGCTGGCATGTGTTTGGCCAGCTATTAGCTTATAAATGCAGCCTTAAATCTGGAGCCAGAGCTCTGATAGATCTGTCTGCACCTCTTCCACTGGCCTCTGCTCTGGTCAGCTGCCGCCCTGCACCATCGTTTGCTGATGCTCATTATTGCCCTTGCTGCTGATTATATCACATCTCTGCATGGATCCAAAAAGACAGTATTGAGATCCATTTGAAATCCCTATTTACAGTCCTACTAAGATTGCTTGTAGGCACAGAGAGCACCAATTTGATGGGAGTTTGACAGAAAACTACATGCAATAAAGATGGTCCTGAAAAATCACAGGGAGCTGAAGTAGCATTCTGGCATTAACAATAGAGAGATTAATTGCAATGTCACTAAATTGTGGCATCACCTTAAAGGGTGGCAGGGTATGAAATCCTGCCAAGCACATCCAAAAGTAGCTGCATGGAAGATGCCCAGGATGCTGCCTGTAAGTGGGGTCTTGCCCTGCACCCTCCCCAACACACACCCTGTGCTGTACACATACCTACACAGAACTTAGTCTTCTGTACTGAAGTGCATTTACTCTATACTGGAGATTTGCCTTTACAGCATCTGAATTTACTCCTTACAGAAACTCTTCACCTGCCTTAATTGCCCCATGAGTGAAGAGACTCAGCCAAGATGGAGAGCAACGCGTCCTTCGGGAACTGTACCAACCCCCAGATGTCCTTCCAATCCACCCTGTACGCCACCACGTACACCCTCATATTCATCCCTGGCCTCCTGGCAAACAGTGCTGCCCTGTGGGTCCTGTGCCGCTTCATCAGCAAGAAGAGCAAAGCTGTCATTTTCATGGTCAACCTGGCTGTGGCTGACCTGGCCCATGTCCTCTCACTGCCTTTACGGATGTATTACTATATAAATCACAGCTGGCCATTTGGAAGCTTTCTGTGCCAGGTGTGCTTCTACCTGAAGTATCTCAACATGTACGCCAGCATTTGCTTCCTCACCTGCATCAGCATCCAGCGGTACCTCTTCCTCCTGCATCCCTTCAAAGCCAATGACTGGAAACGGCGGTACGATGCAGCTATCAGCGCTGCTGTCTGGCTCTTCGTTGGGGCAGCTTGCTTACCCCTGCTTGTAGTGAGGAGCCCAGCCTTGTCCAACAACATAAACACATGCTTCTCAGACCTAGGGGTGAAGCAGCTCAGCCCAGAAGCCTCCATTGCACTGGTGACAGTAGCAGAGCTGTTTGGGTTTGTCATCCCCTTCAGCATCATTGCGTGCTGCACTTGGAAGATGTGGCAGTCCCTGAGGGAGGGCCCAACTCAGCTGCAAAACACCAGTGAGAAACAGAAGGCTTTGCGCATGGTCTTGATGTGCGCGGCTGTCTTCTTCATCTGCTTCACCCCCTACCACATCAACTTTCCTTTCTTCATGATGGTGATAGAGAACATCATCCAGGACTGTGCTATTCACAGGAGCACACTCCGCTTCCACCCCATCTCCCTCTGCTTGGCGAGCCTCAACTGTTGCCTGGATCCGGTCCTCTACTACTTCATGACCTCCGAGTTCCAGGACCATCTGCTTCGCCACAGCTGTGTCACCCTGCGAGCTTGGTTCACACGCCGCGGGAACCTCTCCATCGCTGAAACCAGCCACGACATCCGCATGAAGAGAAGCCTTCCACGCCTCAAGTTTTTGTCTCTTCCCAAGTTCTTTGGCCGAATAAACAGCATGGAAATCCCTGCCATGCCTCCTGACGAGCTTCTGCTGGAGTCCATCTCTTGAAAAGCATAAGCCAGTTTCTGTCCCTGTAGGTGCTTCTCATAGCTCAAGTGAAGATTGTGTTAGGTCTCCAAATATGTCATTACCCTTGTGTGCAGCAGATGACAGAACCCGACCTAGAAGGATATTTTGATGTTGGTTGAGTTGTTGCTGCTGGGCACTATTTGTCTTGCATAGTTCTCTGTTGTGATGTTAAAGTACCCAAACCAGCTGTCATGGTGCCAGTAATTCTCCTGTGCTGAGCTGCAGCCAGGTTCAGATCCCTCGTTTCCTTTGGTTTGAATGCTTCTACATGTTTGTCATTTTTGAAAATCCTTCTGAATCCTGAGGTGTAAGCAGGCAGCTCAGCCCCAGCGCAGCTCGGGCAGGAAGCACGGGGGGAGTTTTGGACCCCCAGCTGCAGATACCCCTGGCTCACAATGACTTAAAGCATCCTCCATGCTCACATGAGGCTCTAGATCAGGACAGTTCATTATTTCCATGTAGACTGAACCTATTCTCATTGCAAAAAAGATCAATCACTTGGACCTAACCTAGACTGAAACACTATAACTTTATCAACATATATCAAGCAAAGAGTATTAACCTATGTCCACATCAGTGTTGAAGGGAGTTTTCAAACAAACTGGGCTCAGTTCCCACTGCCGAAAAAGGCACCCAGAGCCAAGCAAAGGAGTCCACCTGGCCCTTGGGAGCTATGGGATGCTCAAGTGATTATGAGGGGGTGAATATGTGGAAGACAGACAGTGACTGGATATCCCATGAAAAAAGAGGAAGGATGAAGAACGTCTCCCAGAGGACATTTACTTGCAGAGACCCAAGGCATGCCACAGAAGGGAGGAACTGTAGTTGGTGTTGCCATGTCTTGTGTTGCTATTAGGAGCCTTGTGTTATTTGGCATTTTGCTAAAGCCTGTGGTTGCAGATTAAGAAGCTATCCAAGCCTCTCAGTTTTGCTTTAAAAACCAGAAAAGGTCCCAGCCTTCACTGGGTACTGAGAAAAGTTTACAAAGCTGACCCAACGGCATCCTTAAAGCTTCAAACCCGGGAGGAAATAAAATGATCTCAACACATAGTTTAGCATCACGGGTATTAATTTAAGTGCTTGTAAATGGTCTCATTAGTCACATGTCTGCTCCCAGAGCAATGACACAGTCTGCAGAGGGGGACACCCCACTTCGGGACTCACAGAGGTCCTGTTGCCACTGTGGCCCCTCGCACAGTGGCCAGAGCAGGGGCTGTGGGGTTTCCTCCTTGTGGGTTAAGGCACTGATGGCTTCGATGCCAAAAACCCCTCAGGGAATTACATAAGTAAACATAGGCAGAGGGGGTTTGATCGGAAACAGCTTTGCTGATAATTGGATGCACATTTCCAACCCATGCAGCGTTTCTGGGAAGCATGGAGCAGGCAGTGGTTTACTCTCACGTTGCCAAGGCTGGTCTTAGATGAGAGAAGATCCAGACAACCTGGATCTATTTGCTTTGGTACTTACAGCGTGCCAGAGACAGGCAGAAAGCACGCTGTCCTGCAGCTCACTGTCCCAAATCAACCCCTCCCCTCGAAAAAAGAAAAGAGAACAATAAAAGGACACATTTTCCGTGTTTGCTGGTGGGGGAAAGGAGCATTTAGGGCTGATAAAACTCAGCAGCATACCCAGGCACAACAGGAAACCTAAGCAAAACCTCTCCAATGCCGTGGCTGGCAAGACCCGGCTGTGGGCAGCCACCACAGACAAGACAAGTCAAACCACCAGCACCTTAACCGGGAGCATGGCTTTATCCTGTGAGTGTTTTGGGAATGGGACAACCCTGAGTAGCTGTTGGCTGACACCCAGGTAGCCCTCAGTTACCACCGCTAGGTATTCAGAAGTCCTGCCGACTGACTGTACACCCCGGTGTTGCAGCTCCAGCCTTACTGGCAGCACCAGCTCCAGGTTTCCCAGTGGCTCCAGTCACCGCTGGGACCCTGCCAGCTTGTTTTCAGATTGCACAGCACTTCTGAAACTTCTGCAACGTCACTTCCCCCTTCCAGAAAGAAAACAGGAAAAAGAAAAGCAAACCAAAACTCTCACTAATCTGTCACACGGAAGCATAACCTCAACCCTTACTCAGGCTGCCGCTGCTGCCTCCTGGGCTTGCAGGTTGCATTGGAAATACAACAGAGAAACCCCTTCCTGGGTTAGATGCACTGGATAGCAAGGATTTTGCTGGCTTTTACGCAAACCAAACCCTGAGGGAATATCCTTTTCCGGTGCAGACTGCTGCTTTCTGCCCTTCAGAGGCCACAGGATGCCTGTCAGCCCTCCTGTTTTATCACAGTCCACCCAGTTCCCCTACCACAAACACCCTGGCTGGGTGCCAGGACCCAAGACACAGGGATTTGTGGGTCAGAGAGAGCGTGGGTGCTGTGGAAGGGGATACAGATGGACAGGGATGCTGCTGGTCCCTGATGCTGAGATGAGAGTGCTCGGGAGCTGTGGGGGCAGCAGGTAGGAGCAGGCTGGGGATGTCTGGCTCTACGGTATCCCTAAGAAGACTTAAGTAAAAAGCTGCTGCATTGAAGATTTGTTTTCCCAAGACCAAGGTGTGAACCAGCTTCTTACAGGGAAAAACTCAAGGCTGAAGGGAGAGCAAGGGCCTGGGAGCTGACGTGGGGAAGGGAAGAGAGTGCATGGTGAATGAAGAGCTTGTCAGGATTTCTGTCTCAAAGCAAAGAGAAGCAAAGCCAATGGCTCAGCTGGACCTCGGCCAGCACCCATGACATCCACGTACCCTGAGCTTTCCACATGCAATTAATTATTCTATATGGCTTAATCCTTTATGACCGGCTGTAACTACAACTGCTTAGCTGCTTTTATATGTGTGTCCATCCATATACACATACACCCTTGCACACACACTACACTTCCATATACAGTAAATTATGCAGTACTTGGGCATACCCTAGAAGATGTGTCTTGTGCACAACGCTTCCTAAGGCGCCACAAGGAAAGAGGGAAGGTTGCTTTTCTCTTTTCTAAAAATACCCTTTTCCTCGCTCCGTGACCACATGCTTCCAGTCCAGCCCTAGCAAAGTGACTTTGCCTCTGGAAAACCACTCATCCTCAGCTCCTGGCAGGGCTCGCACCACCTACCCAGTAGCAAGACTCAGCCTCTCATGATCTTTGGCACAGTGCTAACAGCCACCACTGCTGGCAAGAAGCTGCTCCTCCATCCACCCACCACGAGAGGGGGAAGCGCTGGGCCTGGCAAAGGAACAGACACACCAACATCATCAATTCTGACTGCAGCCTAAATGCACAGAAAGTGAATTTTGCTCCTTTAAACCGAGCCGAGCCAGGGAGCGGTTTTCCAGACAGTCGTGATTTCATCAGACCTGAGTCCAACTTCTGGATTCACGGGCTCAGCCAGCAACACCCTGTGAAGCCCATGTGTGCGAAGGGACAGCACCATTTGAGAGACCCAGGGCTCCTCATGCACTGCAGGGTCCTGTTCACAGCACAAGGGAAAGGGTTTGGGGAGCTCCGCGTCAATGCCATGTTCAGCACCATAAGGGTGAGCTCTCCGCAGGGAAACAAAGCCTCAGCTTTGCAGCAGTCAGCAAGTCCTTTCCAGCAGGAACTGCCATGCTGATTGCTCAGTGTCACTCCTCTTAACAGGGGATTTGTTAGTCTTTAAAGACATTTTCCCCACTGTAGGTGGATGGGGCAGGCACCAAGGATGGGGAGGGAAATCCAGGACTTTCAGCCCCAATCCTGGTGGCAGCATCACGGCTGCACCCCTGGCTCGTGTGAGCCCCACTGGAGCTGAGAGCTGTGGGCAAGAACCCAGCACAGCAGCAGGGCCCTGTCCCTGCTCCCCCTTTGCAAACATGCTCCTGCCCAGTGCATGCCCTTCCCTGCTCTCCTCCTGGGTCTTCACCGAGCAAGGCATCAGCAGCCATGTGGAGAGAAGACATTCAGCCTGTTCACAGGGGTTGTTTCCATTTAAGCCTTCCAGTGCGGATCAGAAAGGCCTCAGCCGGTTTTGTCTGAGGATCTTCTACAAGGTCACGAAGTGCAAGCTCAGGTGAGCTGAAAACTTCTGATTTTTCTAAGACAAAAATCTAAGTACAAGACAAACTATAAGAAACATAAAGAAAAACAAGTATTATATCAAATTTTCTGTTATACTGTAAAATAATTGCTTTGTGATTTGGTGCCCAGCTCCAAGTTCTCCTGCTTTTTGGCGGCCTCAACTTGGGCAGGTTTGGGGAGGGTCTGGCCAGTGCTGTCACTGTGCACCCCATGCGAGGGGACGTTCAGCATTCAGCTACCGGGAAAGGTGAGAAGTGGAAGGCACCATGTGGTTCCAACCCACATACCCTGAGAAGGGGCCACGCCGGCACTGCCACACACAATAGCTCCTGGAGTGACAGGAAACAGGATGGATGCTGGCAGTGATGCACGCCAGCGGCACAGAGTGTGGCACCAGCAAAACAGGATATGGTTATGCTCTGAAAGGTGTTTTTGAAACACAAAGTCTATCTGTACAGTAAATACAGTTGCTGCCCCAAGCCCAGGACATGCTTTCTTATAAATAGGCTGGCTTCTGCAGAAATGAAAAGTGCAAAACAGAGCATCCACCACACGTTTGATTAGATAAAGCCGAGATCATCTCAGAGCCCAGGTGCTGTGCAGCCATGGGGAGTTGGTACTGCATTATTGCTTGGGACTGGCCTCAGTTTTGTTGTTAGTGGTGCCCAAATCATGTTCCTGGTACCTGTGAAAGGCAGGGGGATGCCAGGGTTACACAGGCAAAGGCTGGTGGCACAGGGCCTGGGAATGCCAGGTTTTACTTCACAGGATTTTGGGTTTAAGAGGAGGGAATAAAAGACGTTTTTAAACCTTTTAAACCCTTATATCACAATGGTGAAGACACCTCGCAAAGCACAAGAGCACACAGCAGAAGGCATTGGCAAGCACAGGGGAAGTTCTGCATCCCAGATCCTGCTGCAATTGGGGAAATACCCCAGGACTAACATGAACTGAACCAGCATCCTGCACAGAGGGCTCAGAACACCTCTCAGGAGGCTGCAACAGCAACAAGCCCCATTTAAGCAATAAACCCTAAACCTCTACAGCTTCTAGTCCAAAAGCATCAGCAGAGTAATCCATCCCTGTACCCAAAGGGGCAACACTGCAGCAAAGATCCCACAGTGCTGAAAGCTCTCACTCCCACACAACGTCAATTAAAACACATTACTCAATCAGCAGGCTTCAAGTAAAAGACTAGCAGCTTTAACTAGTAAGAGCATCGGCTGCTGAAACAGACAAGCATCCCACAAAGCATGTTTTGGGAGATGCAATCTGCAAAACCCCAGCAAGGAGCTGTGCCACCGCAGGGATGACAATCCCAGCACACTTCAAGGCTATAGAAGCCCACAATGTGCCCAAGAGATTAATTTCCTATAAACCACAATAAAAAGTAGTATATAGAGCTACAAACCATGCTATAAGGTGAAACTACACAAGTAAATCAAGAATGCTTTAAAGCAGGAGGTACTAATGAGACCCTGGTACCTGCTGCAAGCATGGGGCGCTGTGGGGGGTTGGGGGACAGCAATGGACCACACTGCCTGGCCCCAGGCACCCATACATCCATTCTGTAGACATGCAGCCCTCCCCACAAGTTGGGATGTAAAGTAAGGCCTGCTCTCCTCACCAGACAAGCAAGAAAAGTGAACACACGCAAGTTAAGAAGCTGCAAATAATTGCTACAGAAATGGTTAAAATGGTTTTAAAAAGTCACTTTTTCAGGATAACCGGTTGAATCGAGAATTCTCTTGATGCTCAGTTTTGTTCAACGCTCCCTGAGGGGGAGGCAGCGGATGGAGAACTGCAGCGCTGCTGCTCAACATCCTCGGCCCAGCAGTGCCCTCTGCCGGTGGCCATGGCCCGCAGAGCGCCCAGCGGTGCTCATGGCAATGGGTGGCACTGCTTCACGGCACAGACCTCGGCTCTGGCCCTGGTTTGCTCGGTGCGAGCGGCAGAAATGCACTGAATAAGAAGATAACGACCATGGAGAACCTCCTGCTTCGGGGGGAAGCCCAAACAGGGCTGTGATCGGTTTCAATGGGACTTTCCGAACCCGCTTAAAGCGCTGGGGCAAAACCATCCAGAGGAGAGTGAAGGATCGTTTTCTCAGCCAGCTGGGGGTGGGAGAGGAAAATAACTGATGAAGCATCTTGCTTCATCAGCATCTTTAGCTCTGTCTCTTTAGCAGAGGGGGGCTCTGCGAACAGGTGCTTGCCCCTGGGAGCCTGCACATCGAGTCCCAGCGGTGGGGGAGGCTGCTGAGGTGACAGCAGCATCACGGCAAGCAGCCTCGGCTGTGACACTTGCAGCAGTTTCCAGAACACCCCAAAACCAACAGCGCCTTTACAGACATACGTACAGATATATCTGTATGTATATCTCTATATAAGTAACCACAGGAAAAGACAAGCAGGCGAAAGGGTCAGGCCCCGCTCGGCCCACGGGCAGGAGGAGCGCACAGACGGCGCTGCTGGCTGGGGAGGGCCCCGCTCCCCTCCCGCGCTGCTGCTCCCTCCCGGCAGTTGCGCTTTTGCTTTGCACATCAAGGGGTGGGACCCGCTGGCAGCGCGCAGGGACCGGGGCCGCGGGGTCAGAGCGGAGCAGCCCGGCGGGACAGCAGAGGTAGGTCCGATATCCCCTCATCCCAGTCAGCTCTAGCTCGGGATAACGGGGTTATGCTGGACTTCATTCGTTATTGCAGCGTAGACTCGGTGCGTCTTACTCGCAGCAGTAGTGCTGAGGGGATGGGGACGCTGTGCCGAGAGGCAGGAGGGTGCAGCGTTAAGCCTCCTGCCCATGAACCTCCGAAGGTAAATGAGAAGCAGCAAGACTGTGTATGCTTACACCAGGTACAGGTGGGTGAAGAGCCAATATCTCCATTTATCAGAAGAATGAGCTCCTGTAAGTGCTCGCTAATGCCCTGTGTATATGAGGGAGAGAAGGGTACAGCTTAAGCCAGAAGAGCCAGCCATGAAGTTTCAAACCATGTTTTCTATCACTGTTGAGTGGGTTCAAGAAGCTGCCTTTAAAAATAACACCAACTGCGGTGATTCTGAACCTCTGCAAAGCTCACAGCTGGTGTGAAGGGACTTTCTATGAGTGGACTTTCTGAGGCCACCTCCAAAAGCACAAGGATAACTGGTCAGCTTACTCATTGCTCTGGGTCTTTCTTGTGCTTATCCCACTGTGTTTGTCCACTGGGTTTTCTTCAGTGGTCTGATCCCCACAAGAGGCAGCACGCTGGCTTTCCACTGAATTTGCACTTAACTGCAAGCAGCAGAGCAGGAGGTGGCAGGGTTGTCTGTGCCCGGTGAGCACATGGCCACCCATCCCTTGGGGGCACACGCTCATCGTTTGGGTGGAAACCCCACAGCTTTGATACTCATTGCCACACACGTCTACCAGGAGTGCCAGGGTGGGCCAGTAAGGGAGAAGAGGGGTGGGGGATTAGGCTAATAGACAACATTATTGCTATGGGTTTACTTTCCATTTTTAACCAGGATAAATATTCACAAATGAGGACAAGAGATTTTGCAAGGGGTTAAAGGCCAAAAGCATCCTGTTTCACGTGGGTACAACCAGAGTTTGTTTTTCCTGCATATTCTTGGAATTTACCCAGCCAAAATCCCCCTGGCGTCCCCTGCTGCCTGCCTGCCTGCCTCACCAGCACCCAGCACAGCCAGGGCTCTCCATCCCTAGGGAGCACCAGCAGGGCTCCAGCCCTACTGGCCCTTCCCAAAAATCTGTTCCAGAGGGAAAGTCTCCCTGGAGCAGGGTCCAGCAGCTCTGCCACTCCTCCCAGAACAGACATTGGTGGAAAGGCAGGAAGCACGAGCAAGGCAGAGGGTTGGCATGCTTCAGTTACCTTCATAATGAGCAAATGAGAAAGAACAAATAGAAAGAAACCTTTTCATCCCACTGTAACAATGCCCTACAGCCCTAACCTGCAAAAGCTTGGCCATGTCGCTGCTTTTTCCCCCCCTGGAGCAATCATTCACCACCTTTAGTGACTCACGTTTCAGGAAACCACAGAAATTGGCTAGGATGAACAGGCGCTTGCACGGGTACTCTGCAACTAAGTCAAAGTGAAAAAGATGCTCTCATCTGTAGCGCTTTGCAAACACAACATTAGCAAATATATTCTGGCAACTCAGAGCGTGTCTGGTGTGGGATGCAGAGCAAACACAGGGCAAGGAGAGGGATGCTCTGGAGGCTGGTGGTACCCAGGCAGGGAGGTGCTGCTGATAGGATGCCAAGATACCCAGGCTGGGATAAGGCAAGCAGAGGACACCAGGGCTCCTGCTCTCAGGACGAGCACAGCAAAGCACAGGGAGGCTCTGAGGATGCCTAACAAAAGTACCATGGCCTCTGTGGACAGATGCTACCAAAAATGAAATAAAAGAGACATCTCCACAGTTAGCACAGCAAGAGGCAATATTGCTCTTCTGGAAGAGATATAAAACCTGGACATCTATCAGAAAACTGCTTCAAGGAAGAAAAACCTTTATCCTCCCTTGACATTTTTAAAAAGAACTAAAGCAAAATCCTGTGCAATGGTCAGTTTATATTTCTATTATTTCTATTTTTAGCCAATACCTTATTAATTCTTACTGCTAGCAGTTATCTCTGCCAAAATAGGACAGCAGCACTTCAGGTGACCTAGAAAACATAGTTACCAGGAGAGAAGCCTGGCACAGGACATTGCTGTCCTGCTCTGGTCCCTGGCAACCCCTCCTGTCCCCACATCCACAGGGAGGGACAGAGCCACCACTACACTGCCTCTGCTTGCGCAGCTTCAGCAGGGAACCACATTTCTATTTGAAGTTACCCCTGTGCACGTTCTGCTTTTATTTTAGGCTGTGGAGGAGACAAAGGAAACCAGAAGAGAGGCTCCAGGCAGCAGCACCCCCAAGGCATCCCCCAAGGGGTAAGTCTGCAGATGACACTGACCATGATGACATGACTGGAGGCAGGCACAGCACCAACCTGTGTCACCAATACTGCAGGCTTTATGTGTTTTTACAGCACAAATACCAGCCCCACACCAAGCACTGGGGGCCTGCACACCTACTGCTCACCTGCATCACTCCTTGCAAGAATGGTGCTTGGTGGCAGAATCCATCCAGGCTGCTCTTTTACCCTGGTCTTGGGAGGGAGCAGGAGGTGCTGGGCAGCATCCTGGGTTCTCTCTCTAAGGAGAGGAACAACAAGGCACAATGCTGCAGCAGGGGCAGTGCCTACAGACACTGCCCATCCATGGGCTGCTTTCCTCTAAGATGGCTTTTTAGAGCTGCTGTGGGTAAAACCCAATGGATTTGCTAATGAGGGTTGACTTGGGGCAGTTATAACCAGCCTCAGGTGTGGAGCCTGATCACTTGTGGTGGGATCTGATGGGGACATGGGGCAGAGTCCCATTGCACTTCAGGCCCACAGGTGCTGTGGCTGCTCTCCCAGCCCTGGCACCTGGTTTGTACAGAGAACATGGATAGATGGCTGTCATTCAGCATGGGGAAAATACTTTACACCATGGCTTCAACATGCGTTAACCGCCAGCCTCTGTGCTGGTTACAAAGCTAACCTGGTGTTTCTGACTCATTAGGTACAAACAAGGAGTCTTACCCCAGTGCCCTGATGTGGCTGGCTGGGGGGGGTCTCCTTGGCAAACAGGGGAGAGGGAACTATTCAGCGGAAGAAGGAAGCCATGCCTGGGCAGAGTCTTGCACCTAACGCAGCAGCCAGCCCCCTGTGCCAAGGGGAAGTGAGCGCAGAGCATGTGAAACAAGATTTCCTCTTTCTGGGGCTTTTTTTAGCATCCTGCTGGTTTTTACATAGCCCATTTGGCTGAACTTTGCCACGCTGCTGCTCGGGATTTCCAAAGCGCAGTTTCTTGCATTGTTGTGTTTTTACCTCTGTTCTGAGGGTGGCCGCTCTCACAGGACCGTTTTCTGGGTGCCCTGGGTGAGCACCCTCGCTGCTCCCCAGCTTTAGCTGGGCTTTCTGGGAACCCTCATAATGTGGGTTCAAGGCCCCAGGGAGAGGCAGAAGGTGCTGCAAGCACATCCCTGCCTTGGGGCCGGGCTGGATGGCGCAGGGGATGGTGTTGCAGGAGCATTGCTGTGCAGTGGGGAGAGGGAAATGCAGCCCTGGTGAGGGGCAGCAGGAGAATCGCCAGCGTGCACGTGTGTGTGCACTGAGCTGTGAGCAGACAGATGGGCTGGGACCGCGCTTTGTCCTTCCCTTTGCATGTCTCATGGCCCAGTGATGGAGGTAGGGTGAACTTACCCTCACAAGGGATGCAGCAGGGAAGGAGCATGATTCAGCCTCCCTGACTGGGAGCCCGTGGGTAAGGGATGAGAGGAAAGACATCTTGTTTAAAGAAAAAAAAAGAGTTTTAAAAATCACTGGAAGGAAGAGCTGGGTGCAGCAGGCTTGGGGCTTCATCTTGTGAACACCCTTGTAGATGCTCCCCAGGCAGATGCAACCTTGCTCAAGCAGTGTTCACAGGAGCAGTGCCAGCATCTGCAGGCACGGGACACCTCAATGGACAGTGAGTGATGGCAGTGTGAAGTCCCCAAGCTCCTCTCTGCTGGCGCTTCAGGGCAAACATCAGGCAAGAAGCTGAGACATTCTGGGTGAAAATCAGCCCAAGGTAAAGCTGTGCAGCTCCTTGTGAGCCACCCTCACTGCCCAGAAGCTGCCCCCTTGTTAGTGGATGGTGCTGGTACCTGGGAAGCCAACAGGAAAAGGGAAGATCTCCAGGGGTGAGAAGATGCTCTGGGTCAGTCACTACCGCCCTGGTGCCACCGCCTGGGCTCAGTCTAGGGACCTACTGAAGGCAAAGGGGGATTTAAATGGAAAAGCTGGAGCTGGGAAAGACACAGCTGCAGAAACCCAGCAGCAAGTTAAATATGCCCTGTGATCGGGGGTGACTTCTGCTCGCTGGTACAGCCCAGGAGGCTGGTTTGTAGCAGCAATTAAACATGTTTTCTATTTATTGTGCAGTGGTTTTGCACCTACCTTCACTGGGCGAGGCATGGTGCTTGTTAGGTGGGAGAAGAGCTGACCACCACAGATGGTCATAGCAATAGGTTTCTGTTAGAGAGATGCTCTCACTGCTTTTTCAAGCTTTTCCGTACCTTTTAGTTTGTAAGACCTGTGTCTCCCCACAGTGTTATAAATGCATCTTTCTGTCTTTCAGCTGCAGGGCTGCTCTGGTTGTCAAACTCCTGTGTTGAAGACGTGCCTGAAATGCCACCCAAAAGGTGACAGAGGTGCGGTCCCCGTGGCGAACTGTCAACTGCTTTGGCACACGATGCATTTCTCAGTGTGGCTCCCCTCTCTGTCAATCCTGCAAGCAACTAGAGTGAGGTCTGGTCATTGCTGACAAAGAGCATGAGCAAAGCACACGAGCAGGACTTCGATTAACACCTTATAACTAAGCTCCTCCCCACAGTGGACATGATGATCTGGTCACTAAAGCCTCATACACGGATGCCAGGGTTAAACCTGTTTATTTAAGCACCCACAACCCAAGAACAACCTGGCTGCAGGAACATGCTACCATGCTGGGGCTGAGCACGGATCTGGAGCACAACCATGACAAACAGTTCGACCTGCACTGAAACAGACCTGAAGCCCTACTATGCGGTTACATACACTTTCATCCTGATCCCTGGACTAATAGGAAACACATTAGCTTTGTGGGTCTTTTATGGGTACATGAAAGAGACTAAAAGGGCTGTAATATTTATGATCAATTTAGCCATTGCTGACTTATCACAGGTTTTGTCCTTGCCCCTGAGGATTTTCTATTACTTGACTGGGACATGGGAATTTGGAGGAGGTCTCTGCATGTTTTGCTTCTACCTGAAGTACGTCAATATGTACGCGAGCATCTACTTCTTGGTTTGCATCAGTGTAAGACGATATTTGTTTCTTATGCACCCATTCAAATTCAGTGACTGCAAGCGCATCTGTGATGTGTATATCAGCATCATAGGGTGGGTCGTGGTCTGTGTTGGCTGTTTGCCTTTCCCACTTCTCAGACTCCAACAGGATGCTAAAAACACATGTTTTGCGGATCTCCCTGTAAAGGAAGTCGATCTTCCCATTTCCATTGTAATGATGACGATAGGAGAATTGGTGGGGTTCGTAACACCCCTACTCATCATCCTATACTGCTCATGGAAGACTGTCTTGTCACTAAAAGAAAAAAATTCTGCTTCACATGACCTCGGAGAGAAGAAAAAGGCTTTAAAGATGATTCTTACCTGCGCGCTGGTATTCCTGATTTGCTTTGCACCTTACCATATCAGCTTTCCGCTAGACTTCTTTGTCAAAACCAAGAAGATTGAAAACAGATGTGTCCAGAAGGTGATCTCAGTGTTTCATGTTGTGGCTTTGTGCCTTGCCAGCTTGAACTCCTGTGTGGATCCAGTCATCTACTACTTTACTACAGACGAGTTCAGGAGACGCCTTTCCAGGCAGGATTTGCAAGACAGCATTCAGCTCCACAGCCTCAGTTACGCAAGGAAGCACTCCAGAGATGTGCTCAGGAAGCACACCATGGACTACTAGTGCTGGCCTTCCACAAATGGTTGCCAGGGCTTCAAATGTTCACTATATTTTGGGGTTTGGCCCGATTTATTTTTTCCCACCAGTTCCATTTCCAGCTTGAAAGCCATATGGTTTGAAGCCATATTGCTGCCTTGGATAAGCTTTAACCACAGGGCTCTGCTTCAAGGGTAGATGTCCATCAGGCCCATCAGGTCCTCTTTTCACCAAAGAGAGAACGGATTATTTCTCTCACTGATAACTAACCCTGCACCATCACACCTTCATTAAGGGCAGCATCATTAAAGCACAGTCAGAGGAAGCAAGCCTTAAAGTTTACTGTAATGGAAACTCACTATAAGCAGTCAAACGTGCCACCCAAGAGGCTATGAGAGGCTTTTATGAAAGGCTCAGACATAGATGTATTTTTAATAACAATTTCTTTAAAATGAAATAACAGAAGGTTTGGGCTGGGCCTGCATTTCCTTTGCACCTTCTTTTGTCAGACTGATTTTTCTGTGAACATCTGAAATGTTGCATTTTGAAATGCAAAAATACTGTGATGGTATTAGGCTTTATTTAAATGCAAATGTTGTTTTATAATTTATGAAAAAATATATATATTTTGTAGAAAAAAATGTGAATCCCAGAGAGTGCTGGAACACAAGCACTTATTTTCTTAAAGAAAAACCCTTTTATATAATAAAACCAAACTCCACCTCCTCATCTCCACAGGAGTCTGAGCTGGTGTGTCTGTACCTGAGTATGTTGCTGGGCAAGGATGGATAACTCATGGAAACCATGAAGCACATTGTAATTCATTCACAGCAATGAAAAAGTGGTGTTTTCTTTTTAGTTTCCTTTTGTATATGATTAAAAAAATCCTTAAAAAATACTTAAATGTAATTCTTGGCCAACTTTTCTGTCTGTAGCTGCCTGCATCCCCAGTACACACTAACACAGACCGATATGTGGCAGCACTTGGACACTGACCCCTCTCCATCGCCTGTAGAACATTTCAGGTGCCTTTTCAGAATGATTTTAACCTCCTTCTTGCACTGGGGAGAAAAGCAAAACACTGGCTCACAAAGGGACAAAACACATCCCTGAACAGTGCAGCAGCTCATCTGCCCCCCATGAGAGGCTTGCCAGGACACAGTGAATTCCTATCACTGAAGGCCAGCTCCAGTGCAAGCCCATCACTGTCCTTTCAGGCCTCTGTCCCTGTGGGAGGAGAGCAGGATGGCCCTGTACAACCCCATAGAGCTACTTTTAGCTTCTGAGGGAAAAAGATGCTACACAAAGTGGTGTCAGAAGTTCAGAAATTGTTCAGCAAGAAAAACCTCAATCAGCTTCAGTTTTCCCACCTAGAAAATGCTGTGGGTGCACATGAGCTGCTCCGTCTGCTGCCATAGCAATGTGGTTTATTCATATTGGCCTTAACGGTCTCTTTCTACAGGAAGCTTGGTGTAATACAGTTGTTCACATGAGCCATGTTCAGGAGAGACCTGCCTGTCCCCTCCTGCAACAGCACCACTGCCTCAGGTGGGGTTAGCTTGGGCTGTGCTCTCCATCACAAAGGTCTCACAAGCCCTCGGCTGATGATGCCACATTCATCAAGACATTACTCAGATTAAGGGCAGGTGTATTTTCATGCCCTGTTGATGGCTCAGGATCCATGATATCAGCCCATGCTTGAGTCCTGGAGCAATCCCACAATAGCAGAGAGATGCTCTGCTGCATTTCTGCCACCCAAGAAAGCCTCAAGTGAGGATGACACATGGCACACCGGGTTTGGAGAAGACAAGTGAAACCCGGCCACTGAAGCATCAGGGAGCACTTACTGTTTTACCACTTTGCTGCCCAGCTTCAAGCTCTGTACTAAGCAAGATGTGATTCTTCACCCGGACTTTGCTCAGCTCTGGCTGCAGGTCTCCCTTAGCCTGTTCAAAGACAGAAGAAGCTGATACTCCCATGGAAAATTTTTCTCAGGAAAGCTTATGAGTAGTAAATCTGGTCTGCAGCACTGGACTGGGAATCTGAATGAGAATAACCGAGAGCAAAAAACAACCCCAAAACATCCCCTTATTCTGCATGAAGTATTTCCTCTGCTTGCTCAAGAAGCACCTCTTCCCCAAGAGGGTTGTTATACTGAGAAGCAAAGCCCTGAGGTCTCTGTCAGCAATCTCACCAGGCAGACGTGGTGCTGAAGCAACAAGTGGCTTTTTGACCCAGAGTTAGGTTTAATTTAATGCTAAGAGAAGGCTCTGTGGCAAGAACCATCAGGTGTTTCAGGAAGCTCTTATTTACACCCGAAACAGGGCGAATGAGGATGACAGAGCACTGGGTGGAAGCAGAGCTGTTGGGTTTCTGAATGCAGCACAGCACAGCCCCATTTCCATCGACTCCCACACAGCCCCGCGCCTCTGAGCCCACGCGCTGTGGAAAGAGCAGCGCTGGCTGCAGCGGTTTCATCACCTCCCGGCTGCCTTTGTGACAAGAGAGGATGGGTCTTTTTTGTTCTTCTTTTTTCACGTTGAGACTTGGAACTGCCCTGCAAGCAAGGGCTGCTGCAGAAGGGGGGGGTGCGCGCCTGCCCTTCTTCCTGCTCTCCTCTTGGTGCCTTTGAGCCAGCGCACAGAGCACCAGGGATGCTCGTGGGCTGCTGATGGTGGGCTTGGGCAGTGTTGAAACACCAGGCTGTGGTGACAGTCCTGCCCAGGCACCGCGGGTTGTGAGGCTTCCTGCAGCTGCACTGAAAGCGTCGTGTCCAGAGCCATGAAAAGCTCTTCCAACCCATTTGCCCAGCATACACCTGAACCCACTGATCCCTTAAGCCCAGTGGCAATGAATTCCCTACTTTAGCTGTATGTGAATTGCTCAGAGCAGCCACCTGATGATATCTGTGCCCCTTCCTCTTGCACCACAAGCAACTGGTTCCCTTTTCACCCCCTCTGCCCAGCTCGTGCCTCCGCAGAGGCAAGTTCTTGCCTGTGCTCAGGACCCCCAGCCACCTCCTGCCCAACGGCTGCCACCTGGGGTTAGGAGCAAGGAGGCCGATGGCCAGAGCCTCAGTCCTCTAACATTTCCAATATCCTCTTCATCTTCTCTGCCATCACCAGCCATCGCCTGTGAACTACCCATGAAACACAAAAGATCCAGGGCCCCCAGTGTAAGAACATGGAGCGAATCCAGAGGAGGCCACAAAGATGCTCAGAGGACTGGAGCACCTCTGCTCTGGAGACAGGCTTAGAGAGCTGGGGTTGTTCAGCCTGGAGAAGGCTTTGGGGAGACCTTAGAGCAGTTTCAGTGCCTAAAGGAACCAACAAGAAAGCTGGACAGGGATTTTTACAAGGGCATGTAGGGACAGGACAAGGGGAATGGCTTTAACCTATCAGAGGGGAGACTGAGATGAGCTCTTAGGCAGAAGCTCTTCCCTGTGAGGGTGCTGAGGCGCTGGCACAGGGTGCCCAGAGAAGCTGTGGCTGCCCCATCCCTGGCAGTGTTCAAGGCCAGGTTGGACACAGGAGCTTGGAGCAAGCTGCTCCACTGGAAGGTGTCCCTGCCTGGGGCAGGGGTTGGAACAAAATGAGCTTTAAGGTCCCTTCCAACACAAACCATTCAGGGATTCCATGATTCTACGATCTCCTTTCTGTGTGAAAAGGCTCCTCTGACCCAAGCAGAATTTTGCTTTCCCCTTACGTGTCTTTTCTCTCAGCAGCTCTAGCTTTTATTTGCTGTTGTCATCTGGTTGCTCAATGTTCTCCAAAGACTCCCCATTTCTCGGTAGCTGGTGGTGTATTTTCCTGCTCCATTTAAGGCTGCACCAGCAGCAGACTTTGACACTTTGCACTTCACTGTTCACTTCCTTTTTCACTTTGCTGTTAGAGGCTAAAAAAAGAGCATCATCCCCAGTGTCATGAAAACAGCTCATTGGCCATAAAGACACACAGAGCATCAAACTCAGCACTGCTGGACACCACTCCTCAGACCACAGAAACTAGAAAAACCATAGTGAGTGACCCAGATACAAGTCAGCCCTGTCCAGAACAAAAGCAAAAGAAAGAAGCTAAAATCCTGTGAGGGATGGTTTGATAAATACCCTGATGAAAAGAAAGCAGACAAGCTGGACCTACCTGAATGGGCAGCACCTGATTCTCACTGCCTGTTAAGTCAGCACAGAGGAGCTCCATCATTTGGGCTGTACTTGTCACTGTAATGTGTGTGTTGGGCCCGGCAGCTACCCTCAGATCAACCTGTTTCACCCTTCCTTCAAATGCAGTGATTTGCTCTACAGAATTTAACGGCAGGGATTACACAGCTGAAATAGATAAACGGAGGAAGACTTTCTGAGTTTCTCAAAATTCAAAGAAAAATATGCCACAAAGTAGAATACTTGGGAGACCTGGTGTGAAAACTTGACATTTCAGTTGAAATGAGCAGTCAGGGGTGCAGGGATCTTTGTTTTTATCATCATCCACATAAGGAGAAAGAACAGAAGATCACAGCCTAGTCCTGGGCAGAGGGGACAGACACAAACATGACTCTTGGTGGTTAGTGCCATCTCCTCAAAGGGGAAGACCTGGCTGCTTGTTCCTGCTTCCAGCTCTATTTCTGTACATCACGTCAAAGCAATACAGGATACACTCCACAAACATCACGAGCTGCTGGTTGGGCTCGGACGTGGGTTTTTGGTGGCACTTAGCACACCATTTTAAAGCTTCCATCCATGTGTGGGTGACGACTGAACAGCAGCTACCTCTCGAAGGCGAGTCTGGCAACATGTTCACTTGCCCCTAGAGCCCATTTCAGCATGAGTTAGACCTCAAAAAATAACTCTCATCCCAGTCAGCCCCAGTGCATCATCTGGACACACATAGAGGTACCAACATACAGTTAAAGGGAAGGGAAAAGAGAAGCTTTTTGGGGGTTTGGTACCTCCATGGTCAGCAAGTGGTTGACTTACAATCATCAAGACTGTAATTTTTTATACCAACCTGCTTCAGTTCCCTTCAACCCCTGCTTTTTTCTCCTAAACATAAACTTCATGAAAGAAAAGCCGGAACACCCAACAGGGTAGGATGAACACAAAGCACATAAGCAATTGTCATAACTTACTGTGAGAATTAACAAATCTCTTCACTCATTTGCCTACCCATTTTCCCCAGTGGGCTCAACAATGATGCAAGAACGGACCACGTTGGTAGGGCTCCAGCTTAGTGAAGGGCATGGCTTTTGCAACCACAATGCGCAGCCACCAGTGCTCTGCTCCAAGCTCTCCTCAGCCAGCAACACCTCCCTGCCTGCTGTCCCAGGGATCCCAAGGGAAAAACTCCATTTTAAAGCTTTTAATCCACCCGAACTCTTGGCTTAGCTGACTGGTTTTTCCAATCTGCCATCAGCCTGTGCATCCGTCCCGGGATGCAGTGCCGTTATCTCATACAAACTCCACTATGGTAACCCCCTGTGGTCAGACTGAGGTCTGCACAGCAAGAGTGGAAGCTCCCAGGAGACCTACGCAAAACAGAAGCTAAAACTCACATGGTTATGAGTTACTAGCTTAATGAGAGGTTTCTTATGAAAGTGAATTGACACTAACCATGCAGGTTCTCCACAGCTCAGTTTGGGCCCTCAGGGACTAGCAGTCAGCATTTGCAAGGGTGAGTTTGCCTACCTCTGCATCGAAGTAGCCCTTGGAAGAAATACCAGATGGGGGACCACAACAC